GATCAAACGGGGTGATCCTCTAATTGCAGAAACCACTTCGTACGTGTACACTGGACGTTCAGTGAACATGGAAAACAACATGAACGAGAAATTAAACAAAAGAAGAAAAGCTGGAGCGCATTTGGGCATTTCAAAGATGCCACTGTCTAAGCAAAGGGCGCGAAAATTCGCCCTCACCTTTTCGATTCAACAGTCTTAAAAACTGTAACATTGTTGTTATATAATTATTACAGTCAGTAACCAACCTTTAAAGGGACGCTTCTATTTCTCAGTTAACTAGGGCGGGAAAAATGGTGTTGACCTCTACATTTCCGAATACTTTTCTTTAACTAACTAGTGTTAAAACAAGAACAGGGTGGTATTCTAGGCTAACTCTGTAGAGTTTGTGGAATGTCTGGATGTGGCCACTACACCTCATACACAATCCATGTTGTTCTATTAGTTAAGCATCATTCACAGTTACATATTCCGTGCCAATACACTGGCTGCTATCCAAGCATGACGAACTCGGACCGACTTATATATGTCGGTTAAGAGCAGATTGCCACAAACTTGGGTAAATAGCGCTGTTTCATAAAATTTAAGAAAAACCAGCTTCGTTCTGTTTCCAATTCGTGACCACAAGCCCTAGTCAACGTTTTTGAAATGGAACAACGTGTACGATGTGGTGCCATATTTTTTTCAGGAAAGCTGCGATCTCTGGCATAGGAATTTGCATTCTGTTAAACTTCTGAAAAGCACTGTTGAACGACTTCCAATAGATAACTCTTGATCGCAGTTCGACATTTACTTGGATAGATATTTACTTAGATTTTCTAAGATTACGTAGAGATAGATTAGATTTTAGCTGCAGTGAGGTCAGAACATATTGAAGAGGTTACTAAAAAATGCAATAATGCCATAATGGAGAACGTCAAGGTGTCACCGTTCTATCGAAACACAATCTCACCAAACGTTCACGCCTTTTAATCACCCCCCACGGCGCGATTCCGATCGTCACGATTTTCGATCGCATCCTATAAAAAACATAATAGAAGTTCGTCGTCTCATGATGCAACGGCTACGACGAGTTCACCTAGCCGAGATGCCAGCGTCGTCGAGCGCTTGGGCCACTTGTTTCACGACACCGCTGTCCAGACCGCTGGTGATGATCCAGGCGCCTGTCGTCTGAGCCGCCTTCAGTACACCGTCACGAAACAGCCTGCCGAGCTTCTCATGCACCCTATAAGATTTTCCTCATTAGAACGGTATATTGACATGTTTTCATCACCAAAAACATTAGTCATTTAATCCGACAACACTAGAAATCATTGAGATTCTCCAACATTTCACAATGCTTAGCACCAAAGTTATTCGGTTATCAGTTCAATTTGTCATCTTTGATATGTAAGAGTCAGTGGTTTACCACTATATAATATTAAAAAAAACTTAGCTGATGGCGAAACTTAATCTTAATCGGAACAGTTTAGGAAGTAATACATCAGGCGATAGCAATATAAAGATGCGCACTTCAAGCTCACTGATATGTTTTTATTAAGGAATCTAATATGTCACTAGTTACGCATTAAAGCTGGTTTTTCTCTAAAGGAAGAAAAAAGGCAAAAATAAAGCCATTAAACAAAGGATTAATTTTATGTCATCACTTACGAGTAAAGGAGGAAACTGCGGCCAATTTTTGCTCTATCGTAAATAAGGCGAGATTTCCACAAAATAAAGTAGTTCAGCCACTTAGTTGAACAAAAATAACAACAATATATATGTATGATCACAATGGTGCTGAGATATTTACAAAACTGCGAAAATCAGATGTCTGCGGTAAGGAACGAACGCGCTATTGCCCTTTCCGGTGGCTAACGCGTTCACCACCACACCATGCGGGTCCTTCGTTTCGCCTCGATCAGTCAGCTCTATCGATAATCGCCATCAGCAATCACCCATCAGCAAGACTGATCTAGGGAGCTCAGATCGGCAACGAACCCAGTTAAGCCGAGGTTGAAATCAAAATCACAAAGTTAACTTTTATTTACTGTCTATTACAATTTTTCATGGAAGAGTATTACGTGTGACACAATCACAATGATGCTGAGACATTTGCAAAACTCCGGACAACAGGTGCCTATGGTGGGAAACGAACGCGATATTACGCTTTCCGGGGACTAACGCGTTCACGTGTGGGCATGTGTGGCGCAACGGACGGAGGCGCCCTGCAACGCACACGTGGGACCGATCCCTGAGCCCATAGTCCGCCAAGCCTTCCATCTCTCTGGTGTCGGCAAATTGGTACTAAATTTGTCTGAGAGGATAGCAGTACTAGCTTGATACATTGGCAAGCCAACTTGAGTCATTGCAAAGGCCAGATATGCATTCAATCACCTCCGAATGATGCTTAATGAAGTCGAACGCATGCCGCATCCCTCAGGGATTGATCAAAGCTGGGACCTTTACCCTTTTCTTTGGCGCGTTCAGCACCAAACACATCGTGCAGGTCCTTCGTTTCGCCGGTCTGTGAGGTAGTTCTATCGATCAACGCAGTCAGCAATCATCCATCAGCAGGATTGATCCAGGAACCCCAAATCGGCAACGAACCCAGTTAAGCTGAAGCTGTAGTCTACACATATATATATATACATATATATGTTTTTATATATATATAACGAATTTGAGTTTTCAACGGGAATTCTAACCTATGCATGTACATTCCTCGACACCACAAAGATGATACCCACAGATGTACTACAAAGGCGACAGGCGATGAAACGTGGACTACTGACATCTAGTACAACTATACGAAACGGAAAGTCAAATTTTTTAACGAATTTTTCACTAAATTAGGTAATGCTTTGTTGTTCAATTTGCGTTTGAAAGTGTTTGAAACTTTAAGCTTTGAAAAATGGAAACAACTCTACGGAGAAGCAATGTGGAGCAGATAACTTACTCGAAATTTGCCATACCGCCATGTACGGTGATCACTAAAGGTGGTGGTGGTAGACCCCACACCTAAACATAACGTTTTAGAATTTATCCGCATTTCTAAGACCTTTAGTTTTTAGATTTTGTTTGGCGTTTTAAAACTTTGTATCAATTCTTTGCTTCTCATTCCTTGGACCACTTTTCTTAGCTTTGCCTACCTCATAAAGGAGAAAAAACTAAACGAAACTGATGAAGCGGAAAAGGGAGTTTGAACGTTCACAAGCTTTCCAATAAGTTTCCCATCGTAATATTCAACTGCTGACGTAAAAACTTCGGTCACTGAACAAATGGAACATTTCGCACCAGAAGATGGAAGTATTCGAAAAATTTTGGCATTTCCGACATGTATTATAAATAAGATGTGACCGACTGTTTACAAAATGAAGTCAAAAGGCTTCACACGACATGTTGACACAACAAAAACCGCCGCCGAAATCAATACCCATGCTTTGCACACAAACCGAAGCACATTTATGCAACTTTGAACGATCAATGAATAGTTCGATAATTTGTCGATAGATGCAAATATTCCTAAGAGAAAGATCAGCAGGACTTTCTATAGAATAAAAGTGTTGAAAATCATGACTCAATAGTAGGATTTGACTTGCCTTTTCCATGAGGTACATGATGTTTTCTGGATCCGAATCGTAACCAAGACGGATAAACTGCGCTTTATGGGCATGTGCACCTCCCTTAATGACTTCTCTTCTGCGTTAATCATATTCATACTACGAGCCGTTTGAAAAGCAACAGTGTCAAATTTGGCAAAATCCAGATATGGTGAATGACCGCTTCGCATACGAGGATAGAGAAAATGACTCATTTTCTTTCAGAGATTCAACATTTGATACACTTGGACACTTCGACGGCCCAACCTCACCGGTTGTCTGGGCCCCAGCATAACTTTCAATTTTCGGAGTTTTGCTGGTCTAACCAACGTGGTTCCCTGGAGATCAGAGGTCAGCCTGACCAAAGTCTGCTCCAGGTGGTCACCACTACAGACAGTAGCCGCCCTTGTGGATCAGAGGGAGATTTGCCACCATGCGACCAGTTTGATACCAGGACAGTGGTGGATCCTGGTACTGGTTTACCCTTAGCTAGGCCTCCTGAAGGAAACGGCGGACTCGTTCTCAGCTTGGGAGATCCTGTCGGAGGGATGAATGCCACCGCTGTACATTGAGTCCGACGCCCAGGAAGACCTCCCAGCTACGACGAGGCGGTAAACCGTTGGGAGCAATTTTATCGCATGCCGTTCTACCGCTAATGGCTACGACATTTGATACAACGATAAGCAAAACGAGTGATAGAATTGCTCTTAAAAAGATTCTAACGTTCAATATTTTTTCATATGCGTTCACTAACCTGAAAAACGATAGTGCCGTAGGCATCAGTCGGTGAGGTTTGGGTGTGCGTAGCAATCGACCACGGGCTGGTGTCGTCGAGCTGACAGTTCGACGTAAAAACCGAAAATCGTGACAACGCTAATTGCGAATGGGCCTTCATCACGCTCCCACAACCGCATCTGAATGATTATTTCTACAAGCAAGAAGGAAAAAAGCCAGGAAAAGGAAAAAATAGTGGGCACTCATAGCGTAGTGAATGGAGGTGCCCTGCAATAGACTGGGATTTGATCCCACGCCCCAGCTTCACCAAGCCTTTCATCGCTCCGAGTCGCCGAGTTGGAAGCAGACCTGTCTGTTGGGATAGCAAGACTGACTCACTAAATCGATAGACCATCGTGAGTCATTGTAAATACCAGATATGCATTCAATCACCTCTAACGATGCTTGATGAAGTCGCATGCATGGCGGATCCCTCAGGGACTGAACAAAACCAAGAGCTTCCTCATTCTTTATCCTTAAGAAAAAGAAAAGTAACAACTTCTATCACAACTGAGTTTTCGTATGTGAATCCAATCGAAGCTTTCGATTCTTTTTCTTTTCCTTTTTCTTTTTCTTTCTTTTTTCGACTTTTTCTTTTTGTCGTGCTCTGACTTGAGCTGTTCGTCCTTAGGAATTCTCCAAAACTCCTTCTCCGCTATTTTACGCAAGTAGTCCTTCTCTGAGACGTCGCGAAATTCATTAATTATTAATACTCTGTACCGTTCGAAATCACATATTAGTTCTTGTTTCTCATCCTCACTGTCCGGCTCGACACTTTTCTTCTTTACAGGCGAGATGAAATCAAGATGAGCCCGTACATCAAAGCGATCTATTAGTACAGTAGGGTCACCCTGCCATTTTCGTAATATATTCTTGTCCTCTGCAGCTTTTGCGATACATCTATCAGTGTGTATTATACACTTGCGGTCATAATTAAATTAAATTTAAATTAATAAATTTAATTAAACATAATAATTAATTACCTAAGTTTGAGTTTGTTACGATGTGGCATGAGGCTCGTCGTCAGGAGAAGATCATGCGGGCAAGGATCGTTGACTGCTCGGAAAGAGTCGAGAAGCGTAGGAGATTCTACGATAGCGTGCGTAAAGATCCAAAACAGTTTATGCAACTGCATGGCCGCAAG